TAACCCCACCTGGAGACCCGGGGGGGGGGGGGGGGGGAAGTAGAGAGGGGCCACCCTTGAAAACATAGGAAATACAAGGGGTGCACAAAGACACAAGAAGGGTTATGGTGCTCGGCATGGAGGACACAGGACTCTCTGAGAAGGCTGACAATGGTAGCCCAGGGGCGAAAGGAAACTAGAGCCACAGGTCAACTGGCCCTTTAAAAAGGATTGGGAGGTGAGCGAACACATACCGGCGTTCGCTCACCTCTCGATCCTGTCACGGCTCTCTGCCATGACAGGGGAGGGGCTCGATTCCCCCCTCCAATCCGGCAGCGCTGACTGGCGGAACGGGGGAGGGGGCGGGTACAGCTGGCTCTGCCTCTAGATAGGCAGAGCCAGCTGTCACTCACGCAGCTGGGCGGATCTTGACATCGATGTCGGGATCCGCTGCGGCGTCTCAGTATACCGCGAGCTGTAGCTCGCGGTATACGGAGCTTAGGGTGACGGGAGGACGCTAGTTTGTGCCCTCCCGTTACCCTAAGGAGAACTATGGGGAAAAGCCCTGACCCCATAGTTCTCCTTGAAGTAAGCCGTAACCAGCAGAGCCGTCTCCTGATTGGTCGCGTAGCTGGCACGTCAGATACAACCTGGTTTTTGGGAAAACCTTGATGCTGGATCTCTGGAGAGGGGAGTGTTACAAAGTGAACCTTGCACTAGGAAGCAAGGTCTGCTCACGATATCAGTGCCTCCATCACCTTTAGGCCTCATTCACACGGGAAATTGGCCCGCACGTACAGCGGCCATACGCTCACCCGCCCTACAAACCTGCACTTGGGGTGAGCATAGGGCAGTGTATGGCCGTGAACTCCCATAGAGAAGGACGGGGGCTGTGTACTAATCACACGGAGCACCTGTCCTTCCCGGGAACTGCCCGATATGGCCGTGCACGCAGCTGTACCTGCTGGCCTTTTCTCGTGTGAATGAGGCCTTATAAGGATACGCACACACACTTACCTTCCCAGCTTCTGCACTGCTGGGGGCGATGCTTGCGGTGAGCTCCTGTGCTCCTCCACATCTCTCCACATCTCCTTGTGCACCCCAGTGCTCCTCTGTATCTCCAAGTGTACCTCACGTGCTCCTGAATTCAATGGCGGTCACATGAACGGCCGAAAGTCACATGACTGGCCGAAATTCCCTCTTATACAGTTGTTGCAGGACCAAGTGTCCCCAATTGGAAGATTCCCCGTCTACTTTCTGTTCTGTTGGCAAGTTTACATCGTGTGCCCCTGTCCAAGGAAAACAGGTGGCGGCAGAATGGAGGTTGCTTGCACTCCCCATACAACATAAATGACAACGTCCAGCCGCACTCTCATGATGTCAGCGTTTTTATTATAAAACATGATTGTACCGAGTGTGCACATTGGATGCCCCACCAGGAACCGCCCCCTTCTCATGTGTTCCGCCCTAGAAATTAGGCGTGGTTGTAGAGATTGAGAGGTGCGCGGGGGGGGGTTTAACTATACAGCGCATATCAAACAATGAATATAAAATCAGATCTTATACATATTTCTTATGTGCTGCTAAATATACACTCCCATTTATAACATACAGGGTCTAAATATGAGAACCCGCTACGAAAATGTATCACCGGCTAAAATAGTCTGTATTTATTTCACAAAAATATTACAGCAAGGCGTACGCAACCTCAGCACAATGTGAGAGAGCGAGGAAGAGAAAGCGAGAGAGAGCGAGGAAGAG